GGATATTTCTATTTAAACACAGGCCTCAAAGCACTCCCATATATTGCATTGCAGATTCCATGAAAACATGTTAGCAAACTTCTCAATGAAAACCACTGTGCAACTCTGTGAGATAAATTCACACTTCACAAAGCTGTCTCTTAGGAAGCTTCTTTCTAGTTTTTATCTGAGGATATTTCCTTTGTCACCATAGGCTTTGAAGCGATCCAAAGCATCCCTTCACATACTCCACAAGAACAGTGCTAGCGAACTGCTCCATGAAAGAGCCATGTAACTCTGTGAGATGAATTCACACATCACAAAGTAGTTTCTCAGAAAGCTGCTTCTAGTTTGTACCTGAGGATATTTCCTTTTTCACCATAGTCCTCAATGCCCTCCCGAATATCACACTACAGATTCCACAAAAACAGTGTTACCAAACTGCTGAAGAGAAGAGTGGTGTAACTCTATGAGATTAATTTATACCTCACAAAACAGTTTCTATGAAACCTTCTCTCCAGTTTTTATATGAGGATATTTCCTTTCTCCCCCTAGCACTCAAAGCGCTCCCAATATCCCATTGCAGACTCCATGACAACAGTGTTAGGAAACTGTTCCATGAAAGGAAAGGTGTAACTCTGAGAGATGAATTCACACAGCACACAGCAGTTTCTCAGAAAGCTCCCTTCTAGCTTTATCTGATTATATTGCCTTAGTCACAATAGGCTTCAAAGTGATCCAAAATAACCCCTTCTCAGATCCCACAAAAACAGTGCTGGCAATTTGCTCCATGAAAGAGTAGTGTAACTCTGTGACATGAATTCACACATCACAAAGCAGTTTCTCAGAAAGTTTCTTTCTGGTTTTTATCTGAGGATACTTCCTTTTTCACCATGGGCTTCAATGCAATCCAAGGTATCTCTTCTCAGATTCCACAGAAGCAGTGCTAACAAACTCCTCCAGTAAAAGAAAGGTGTAACTCTGTGAGATGAATTGACACATCAGGAAGCCATATCTCTTTGTGACATATTTCTAGTTTTTATCTGAGGATATTTGAGGATATCCTCAGAAACATATTTCAAGTTTTTACCTGAGGATATTTGCTTTGTCACCATTTGCTTCAAAGCGATCAAAAATATCCTTTCTCAGATTCCACAAGAAGTGCTAGCACACAGCTCCATGAAAGAGTGGTATAACTCTGTGAGATGAATTCACACAGCACAAAGCAGTTTCTCTGAAGGCTTCTCTACAGTTTTTATATGAGGATATTTCCTTTTTCACCATACTCCTCAATGTCCTCCCGAATATCCCACTGTAGATTCTGTGACAACAGTGTTAGCAAACTGCTCAATAAAGGAGTCATGTAACTCTGTGAGATGAATTTACAACTCACAAAACAGTTTCTCTGAAGTCTTCTCTCCAGTTTTTATCTGAGGATATTTCCTTTCTCACCGTAGTGCTCAATGTGCTCGCAATATCCCATTGCAGATTAAACAAAAACAGTGTTAGTAAACTGTTCCATGAAATATTGGTTTGACTTTGTGAATGGAGCAATGTTGGAACCTGCTCAAGAAGATATTGTATCCGAATTGAAGTTTATTTTCAGTTACACTGAATCATCTCTTTCCAAAGTGCTGGTGGGTAACATAAAGTTAGAGATAAACAGCTCTAGTATTCTCACACTTACTCTCTCGTAATGGTCTATGAGCCAGGCTAGTTTCCATATTCTGTAAAATACCCTGTGATGCATAAAGGGTTCCCAAGGAGAAGAATTGTTTGACAAGGTGGTCAAGGTTTATGAAAAATGGCAATGTCTCCGAATATTCAATATCAGTAGAACATAATTAACTCTAGCATTGATGTCTTTTTTAATTAAAATATGTAATTCAAGACAAAAGCTTTTGAAACTTTAAATGATTTTGAGCCTTAAAAGAATGAGATTATGGGACCTGAGTCACTAACAGATAGCTGTAACCTAGGAAGTTGTAGTATTTGTTGCCCTGATTATAAATTGGCCTTTTTCCATTACCTACATTGTATTTGAGAATATTGTAAAAGACTAACGAGTGCCAGAGAAGACCCTTTCCCTCTTTACTTTTGATCTTCGTTATTGGTTAACTTCCTTCTTCCTCATGTTACACAAAGACCTCATGACTATTACATTGTCAAAGATAAAATACTAAAAATACTCATTTAAATTGGAAAAGAAAACAAGCTGTAACTAACCAATTTGCTGTAACTCATAAATCAACTTTGTATGGGGAAATTTTTAATTCTGCTAAATTTCTTTGTTTTCTGCCTACGTAAGTAAAACCTTAACTTTTCAACTTTGGAGCATTGACCTCATTTCTTTGGATTCTATGTTTCCCAGATGGCCATCTTTAGCTTTGCATTTGAATAAACACTTACACCAGATTATCATCCTATCTATTATTTCAGGTTGACATTTCTGTTGTCACCATTTTCTCAGTTATATTTATCTTTTGTGTCTTTTTTCTTCAGTATGTCAGCACCCTTCTGGTCCCATCTTGTTTGACTTCATGAAAGAAAACTACTGTCCAGAGAAGGGATCTCAGGACAATGACTCCGCTCAACCATGTTTAAGTGTGGTGGTCCAGTTTGATTATGAACCATTTCAGGGCCAGCATTACGGTGCACTCCCATCTACACTGCGGGAACTATCATGCTTATATTAAAATTTTCTGACTCCCATCAATATATTCAACCAGAAAGTTGCACTATACATGTCACAGAACCTTTCATATCACTGAGAGAAGAAAAAACTTTTTCTTTATTTTGCATGTTTATATATTGTACAGCTATTGATGGTCTGGATGCTGGTCTGTGCTTACCACTCAGTACTGTGAACTACAGCGATGAAGATTGTGTTGATATCAGCTAATCTTTAACACTATACTACTTGCACCTGCACTCAATTTCTGCGGTCTCCCTCTTCTCATTACCAACACCAACCCCAGGCTATGCGTTCTACCTCCCATTTTACTTGATCTCCACTTGGGACCCACGATGAAGTCTCTTACATATAAATAAAATATTTCCTACTTAAATATCCTGCAAGAGTTAAGAATTTGTAGTCAAAATGATTTATCTGAGTGATCTTCCTTCACTTGTTACATGAAGATGATGCTAAAGATGGGTATATTTTATGCACACAAATACCTGCTTTCCTTAGACTTCAGTTTTTTTATTTGTAAGACAGAGGGAATAGATCAAGTTTCAATGTATTTCCACATTTAAAACTCTATATTCCCATAAAATTTTAGGTACATGAAGCAGAAGCTGCAAAAGTCAAATTATAACCCATGCACACAGACCTAAAGAAAATACACAAAATACTATAGAATTCAGGAATTGTGCTTAGCCAGTGTTAACACCAAGAACTGTCCAGATTCACAGATATTGAATAGGTGATGTTGCTTTTCTTGTCTACTCGGCTATATCCACCCCCATTTCCTAAAATTGTAATCTGTGTACTTTTGAGTATTTTGTATATTGTCATCCAAACCACATAGTGGTTCTAAATTATAGAACATGAAGGAGATTTCAGATTTTGAAGCATGAGTACACTGATAAGGCACAAATTTCAGTTCAGTGCCTCTTTTATCTATTTTAATGCAAACCACATTCTCCAGTCACATCTGGAGTTTGAAAATGGGACTAAATATTGGAGAACTACAGGATTAATAAATTATAATGAGATTATTTTGAGGTTGATATCAAGTCTGGCCCTGTGCTTATCATAACATGAGCCTAATTGTTTTTCTAAGTTTTATAAAGTCTTACAGGTTTTATACATTTTATCTGAAGGGAAATTGTCAGATAGAATTTGGAATTAGAATTAGACATGTGACACATACAAAAAGTCAAATCTGTGATGACTTTGCTTCAAGTGAGAAAACATATCTCTGTAATACCCACACTGTAGTCTCTCACATCCCTAAATTCACAAAGACTTACTTTATTAGAGAATGAATGTAAAAGAAAGGTGTATTAGTCAGGGTTCTCTAGAGGGACTGAACTAGTAGGAAATATATATGTGTGTGTACACACACACACACACAAAGGGGAGTTTATTAAGTATTAACTCACATGATCACAAAGTCCCACAATAGGCCATCTGCAAGCTGAAGAGCAACGAGAGCCACTCCGAATCCCAAAATTGAGGAACTTGGAGTCTGATGTTTGAGGACAAGAAGCATCCAGCACTGGAGAAGGATGTAGGTTGGGAGGCTAGGCCCGTCTAGTCTTTTCACATTTTTCTGCCTGCTTCATATTCTAGCTGCATTGGCAGTTGATTAGATGTTTCCCACCCAGATTGAAAGTGGGTCTGCCTTTCCCAGCCCACTGACTCAAATGTTAATCTCTTTTGACAACACCCTCACAGACACAACCAGGATCAATACTTTGTATCCTTCAATCAAATCAAGTTGACACTCAGTATTAACCATCACAAAAAGAGACAGAGCAGGAATGTGAAAGAAGAAAAGGAGCAAAAATGGTAGTAACAGCAAGACTGAGAGAGCATTGAAATAAACATGGGAGTCAAAAATTTTGGAGAAGACAAAATTTTGGATTCTGTAAAGAATAGAAAAATATGTAACAGGCACTACTGCTGGATTACAGTTTATTTTGTTCATCTATAAAATGATATTTATTTGATCAGTGTCCTTCAGAATCTAAATTTACCTAGAGAGAAGACATATGGAAAAAATGGAGCTATCTATCACCCTTGTTTACAAGCAGTTTTACTCCAAAGCCACCTCAACCTTCAGCATAGTTAACATCTCCATTAATTAGCCTTTTTCCAGGTACCTGGAGAGAAGTGGGGGAAACAGGCAGCAAAGTTTAAGTTTGTATTATCTGTCAACACTAAAGCACTTCCAGTCAAAATGAAAAAATCTGACAAGCATGACCAACAGTTACAGAAGATTAAAAAGGAAGCTCAGATGATCATAATTTGGGTAGTATATAGATATACTTATCCAAACTTTATTGCATAATTATTCTTTCTGTACAAATATTTTCACAACTTGCTCTCGGATCTGCTTGGTCCTGACTCCATAAATGACAGGGTTAAGGGCAGGTGGGACAACCACATACAGGTTAGCCAAAAGAATATGGGTATAGCGGGGAATGTTTTGGCCAAAATGATGTGTCATAAAAGAAAAAAATGCTGTTATGTAAAAGCACAGCATAACACAGATATGAGAACCACAGGTATGGAAGGCCTTTAGTCGGGCATCTTGAGAGGGAAGGCGAAAAACAGCTTAAAGGATAAGCACATAGGAAGAAGAAATTAGGATCCCATCCACAATAATATAAGAAATCACCATGAGCCCATAGATTATGTTGATCTTGATAGGTCCACAGGCCAACCGGGCCAGACCCATGTGCTCACAGTATGTGTGAGGTATGATGTTATGCCCACAGAATGGCAGAAGCAGAATGAGAAACACAAATGGGGTTACAAGAACAAAATTTCTTCCAACAACCACAGAAGCTAGAATACTGATGGTTTTATTAGTGAGGATCATGGTGTACTGGAGAGGGTTGCAAATGGCAACAAAGCGGTTGTAAGCCATGACCACCAACAGAACAGTCTCCATGCCTGTAAACATGTGAATAGAGAACATCTGAAGAAGGCAGCTCCCAAAGCTGATCTCTTGGAGGTTGAACCAGAAGATTCCTAGCATTTTGGGGGTAGTGGATGTGGACAGACCCAGATCAGTCATAGACAACATGGCCAGGAAGTAGAACATGGGCTGATGTAGACTGTGTTCGGTTTTGATCACAAAGAGAATGGTCATATTCCCCACAATGGCAATCAGGTACACAATACAGAATGGGAAAGCAATCCACATACGTAAAGTTTCCAGTCCTGGTATTCCTAGCAGGAGAAAGAAGCGGGGATAGAAGTGGGTGTCATTGATAGAAGGCATTCTCCCAGCAAGTGTCACTGAATTCCTAAGTAAGAAGGATCTCAATTTCTTTAAGGTCCTCCCTTGTCAAGTTCCTGAAGCAACAGAAAAACTCTTATCAGTGTGCTAGAGGTAATGGTATAGGTGGTTAATTTACAAACACTTGAGATTCACTTCTTTCCAGAGGGTAATGGAGGAAGCCTCTCAACACAGATTATTGTTCTGAGATCCATCATAGGCAATATTGCTCATGGCTTTATGTTTTGTAATCTTTGAGATATTTGAAAGAACTGGAAAAACTTCATAATGCAATGCATATTTATATTAAGGCATTCCCTTCCATTACTTCCCTAAGTAACCCTTCTTTACTTTTTGGGAAATCACCATCCCATGTGTTCTTCAAAGTGTGGTCTTGAGATCTTTGGGGTTTTCTAAGTACCTTTCCAGAAGCTCAAAAGCTCAAAACTATATTTATGATAGAAAATTTTTAGCCATTCTCACTCTCATTCTCTCATAAGTACATAGTGAAATTTTCCAGAGGTTGTATGAGATGTTATCATAATAGATTAAATGAAATTGTAAATGATTTATGAGATTTCAGCTCTATTATCTTAACTTAGACAATAAAAATATTTGCAAAGGAAAATGATGCCATTCTTACAACTAATTTTTTGAAAAATAGTGATTTTAACAAAAAGTGTCAAATATGTTTTTGTATAATAGTTTGTTAATATTATTTTAATATTAAACATTAAATTTTACTCCAATGTCTAATAATATAAATACTATGGATACAATTCAGAGAAACTAAAACTCTTTGAGTATCTTAATTTCTAGAAGTGACAGATTCTTAGTACAAAGGAGAAGTACTACTGTCTGCCACTTTCTGTGTTTTGTTATAATATAAGCGTAAGGATCTTACACAGTGACATCACATTAAGTGTAGTTAATCAGTCTCTGTTAGAGCTTTCCTGGTTCTAACTCAGCTAAACTGATCAGTGCATTTCTGTTATGGATTAATTGCTAGTTTTGATGTTTCTAAATCTTCATGAAAAATCTGGTTTCTCCAAGATCCTGTCATTCTGATTCCCTGATATCCTTCCAATAAAATGCCTTGCATGTACCTGTCAAATTATGTTTATCTTCCTTACAATCTATAACATCGATGAGTAATATTTTTAAAAATCCCATGTCCCAAAATTGTGTCTCACTTCAGGTGTAAACAGATAAATATTTAGTGTATTTTAATATTGAAATTAAAATGTTTTTAAGGACTTTTCATTGCTTCCTTGACAATAACAAGGAAAATTTCCTTATTTTATCTTTGTGTCCCTAAAGACACTGTACAACTCTGTAGCAAATAATGTAACCTGGATTGCATATTTCTGCATGTACTGGCCTTATTTCTATGAAGCAAATAGCTGCAACTAAGAGTTGAGAACCAGGGGTAATCATTGTAATATGCTCAAAACTGCCACATGAATGTTGGTTACCAGTTGTTCAGTATTCAACTGAATCAGAGTTGGGGTTTGTAATAAGTGTGCTTTATGTGGCTGCATACACCAGTTGTCCTATAACTTTGCCAGGTAGCTATTTTACAGCAGAGGCACACAGGCAAAGGGATTAATAATTCCCCATTCTATATGAGAAGAACAAGAACATCTCTTGGTCCCCGAGGAGCTGAGAGAAAACTGAAAAAAGAACATAATGTTTGCCAGTATTGAGGAAAAGATGCCAGGCTGAAAAACCAGAGGGCTGTGGTTTTTGTGATTTCACCTGGAAGAGTCTGAGGAAATAGCTAGGATGATGTGTTGTGAGATTTACAATCCAGAGTCAGCCCAATCTTAAGGGTGGTTGTGTCTCAACATGATACTTTGCCAACTGAGAAAAACATTCCCACGGAGGTGGCAAAGAGGACACTTCTCTGACAGTACAATTCAAAGCTGCTGTCCCGTCCCGTGGGATCATCAATGTAGGCCCTAGAAGAGGGAGTGGGAACTCGGGGGAACAAGAGACACGAGAAATGGAGACAAGACAGTATCCTGATCAAGTCTCGTTTATTGGTGGCAGTGTAATGCCTTATATAGACCGGTAGGGGCGGAGGTTGGGCCAGGGCGATGATGGTGGCCCTGCGGTGGGCGTGGCCAGGTAGGTTTCGGTTTCTTCGGTCGGACGTCATGTTGCGCCTGCGCGGTCGGTTGGCACCTGCGCTGTAAGTTGATCATTTTCCCGGGTGCGGGAAAATGGGTGATGAAGAACCCAGAAGAGCGCCATTTTGTACTGGCGTATGAGACAGCAGAACAGGGAAGAAAGTAAATCTAGGGAGGAGGCATAAAGTGGAAATGTATAGAGCTCAGGCATCAGTCTTCAGTTATTATCGCTATGGCTGGGCCACGCGGCTCCGGACAGGTCCCCCTTTTTTATTATTTCATGATGAGAGATAGCCCCTCGGGAACTGCACCTGTCTTAGGTTGGGTCAACTCATCCCCACCTTTTAAGCCCGTCGTGGGATTAGGCAGCAGCAGGGGCAGCCCTCCTGTCTTAGGCTTAATTGGGGGTGGTGTCCTCTTACCCGTCATTGACTGTCCAGTTCAGCTCACAGGGGAGGTGGTCTTATAAGGGCGGATAAGACTCACCATGTTCAGACATCTCAAGGCGATGATAATGGACCTGTATAGGCTTGGCCTGGAAGGCCTCGATTTGTCATCTGATGAATGCCATAAGCTTATTAAGGATTATAGGCCCAAGAGTGAGAAAGAGTAGAAGGATAAGTAAAGAACCTAAAAATGGTAGGAGATAAGGGAGAAGTCCGTGGAGTCCAGTCCAAAGCGGATTGGCAGCCAGGTCTTTTCTGCGTTTTGTTATATAAAATGATTATTTTCCAAAAGAATCTCATGTTGGGCTTCATTTTCTGAAAAACAAAAGGGAAGAAACTTCTCAGGGAGGATTGTTTTCCCTGGATTGACAATGGTTATGATTCATTTGTCTTACCAATCTTTCAGGCAGCCATCTGGCTGCATCATTTTTTTGTGAGAAAATACATACTGAGCCTCTTCCCCAAACTAAAACTGGGTCAGGGCCATGCCATGAATTATCGAGTGGATCTTTCCATTTAACCATTGCAAACTGTTTTTGAGATTCAGGATGCCAGAAATGGTCGGCAGCAGATTTTCTGTAACTGTCCAAATTTTAAAAATTAAGGATAAAGAGGGCATGATTAAGTATGTTTCTGGGGGTACCCTTCACGGGGTACCAGCTCCCCCCTTTTATTTTTTTGATAGTAGTTTTTAATGACAGATGGGCCCTTTCTACTATACCTTGTCCTTGGGGATTGTAGGGAATGCCTGTGATATGTTTAATTTGTAGGGTGTTGCAGAATTGTAAGAAAGTTTTGGCTATGTAACCAGGACCGTTATCTGTCTTAATTTGTTTGGGTATACCTAAGATAGAAAAGCAATGTAATAAATGAGTTATGACATGTTTGGTGGCCTCTCCTGTCTGGAGAGTTGCAATAATGAACCCACTATAGGTGTCTATGCATACATGAATATATTTTAGTTGGCCAAATTCTGAGTGATGTGTAACGTCCATTTGCCAAATTTCGTTGGGGATGAGTCCTTGAGGGTTAACTCCTAGATGAGGAATGGGTAAATAAGTTATGCAGTTGGCACATTGTTTAACTATTTGTTGGGCTTGTTCTCTAGTAATTTTAAACATAAGTCTTAAGGTCTGGGCGTTTAAATGATGTAGGGCATGTGCTTTTTGTGCTTGTTGTAAATTGTCTGTAGTGACTGTGGCTATGGTTTTTGTTGCCATGTCAGCTGTTGAATTACCTTGTACTAAAGGTCCCGGTAATCCTGAATGTGCTCTAATATGTCCAAGGAAAAAGGGAGTAGTCCTTTTTTGAATAAGTTGTTGACATTGTAGAAATAGGTTAGCTGTGTCTGAAATATGTTTAGTTTGCAGCACGGTCTCTAAGAGGGGTATTGAATGAGCCAGGTAGGCGCTGTCTGTGTAAATATTAAGTGGCTGACAAGGGAAAGCTGATAATGCTGCAATTATGGCTTGTAATTCGACTAGCTGAGCTGATGTATAAGTGGTTTGGAATTTGACAATTGTATTATTGTAGGTGTAAGCAGCGAGTCCTGTGGAAGATCCATCAGTGAAAATTAGTAATGCATCATTGAGAGGTTCCTTACTGGTAATATGAGGAAATACAAACGCATGAAGTTTGCAAAATTGAATGAGTTTGTTAGGTAGGTAATGGTTGTCAATTGTGCCAGTGTAAGAAGTGCAAGCAATTGGCCAGGCTTCTGTATTTTGTAACAGCCAATGGATGTGTGATTGAGTGTAGGGCTGTATAATGGTAGAGGGTTCTATTCCAAAGTATTTTCTACTGTTTTCTCTTCCCAAGATAATTAGATCAGCTATGGCATCATAATAAGGCAACAAAACGTTTTTGGGGGAGGAGGGCAGGTGTACCCACATAATGGGGTTGTTTTGCTGGAATAAACCAGTAGGGGTTATTGCTGTGTTAAAAATGATGAATATTAATGGCTGAGAATAATCAATACTGGTAACAAATTGTGTTGTAATGGCATCTTCTACCCGTTGGAGTGCCGTTAATGCTTCTTTGGAAATGGACCTGGGGGATTTTGGATTAGAGTCTCCTTTCAATATATCGAAAAGAGGTTTTAACTCTCCTGTGGTAAGTTTTAGGTATGGTAGAAGCCAATTTATGTCTCCCAGTAATTTTTGGAAATCATTTAAAGATTTTAGATGGTCACGGTGTATAATGGCCTTTTGATTAATGATTTTGGGTCCATTAATTTGAAAACCAAGATAGGTATATGGATTTTGTAGTTGTATTTTTTCCGGGGCTATTTGCAGTCCGGCTGTTGTCAACTCTTGTTTGAGTTGGGCAAAGCACTGTAAGACTTGTTCACCAATCTGTCCTGCTATTAAAATATCATCCATATAGTGTATAATATACATTTGTGTCCATATTTTTCTGACTGGTTCTATAGCAGCGGCTACATATTTTTGACATAAGGTAGGACTATTGGCCATACCCTGAGGTAAGACTTTCCATTGGTAACGTTTCATTGGCTGCTTAAAATTTATAGATGGAAGACTAAAGGCAAACCTTTTCTGATCAGCAGGATCAAGGGGGATTGTAAAGAAGCAATCTTTAAGGTCAATAATGATTTTAAAATATTTTTGAGGAATCGCAACTGGTGAGGGCAGTCCCAGTTGTAAGGCACCCATAAGGACCATAGTGATATTTATGGCTCTTAAATCTTGTAGGAGTCTCCATTTGCCAGACTTTTTCTTAATGACAAAGATAGG